ACGTGGTGAGAGATATGATCCTCACTTTAATCTTCTGCATGTGGATAGCCAGTTTTTCCAGCACTGTTTGTTAAACAAGGTATCTTTCCTCCAGCAGATGTTTTTGGCTGAATGTACCTGGGGTTGTTTCTGTCCTTTGTCATCTTTTATGCATTCTTGAGAGATGGTATAACATTTTGAACAACGTAATTAAAAAACTGGGGGATGATGCAATAGGGATGGTTAGTTTCATTATTGCATCATCCTTCTAGGTGATTCCATCATTCTTCCACTCCTTTTTTTAGAGATTTTCACCATAATTGCCAATAACTGAGAAGTAATAATAAAATGTTTCTTAGGGTGATTAAATGGAAATTTTATATGAGAAAACTAAAATCACTAAAGTCCTACGATTCATCCATACACCCACCCATGGATTTATAAATGGTTCCTAAGGTGCTACATGGTTACTTTAACATAGGATGGGCTTTATTCTACTTTCATCTAAAAGGTGTCCTTTGATCTTAGGAACACTCCTAAATATGAACAGAAGTCATGAAACAGCAGTCCTTACAAACAGAACTTCTCTGCAAAAAAAATCTAAACGCACCACTGTGATCAAATATTGAGGGTTACATTGCGTTAATGTATTTGGCCATTTACCAAAGACTTTCAAAACCTGCTTCCTTAGAAGCTATTTTTCTTTACCCACTTGAAAGCTAACAGTTCTCAGAGCAAAGCTGAAACCCAGTCAGGGAGAGCTCAATGGAATCCAGCACCATGATGCTGAACTTGGGCTCGACCAGCTCCCCTGGCAGAAGCCAGGCAACCACTCCTTGGGACAGTTTCTCCTGGAGTTTGTCTCAGCAAACAATGAGAAAGCAACAATTACGATCCAAAGAAAACAGAGAGGGCTTCTGAGAAAATGCAAGCTTCAAAGAATCCAATGTTCACTGCCTTATATTCTTTTCAGTAAATGGACTTATTCTGGGGGATGCAGGGTTCCTATTCTCTTAGGCTTTTAAAAATCATTTGTATTTCCAGTCAGTCCGTGAACATTTTGACTACTGATCAATAACAGAGGAAGTGCCCAGTTGCCCAATGTGTTATGTTCCGACCCTTTGAGATTGTTCAGGAACCCAAAGTATATTTTCCTCCAAAAAACAAGTATGTATATATAAATGTGTGATGTATGTATATATAAATGTGTGATGTATGTATTTTGTGATCAGGGTCTTACTATGTTGCCCAAGCTGACCTCAAACTCCTGGGCTCAGGCAGTCCTCCTTCACCCTCTCGGGTAGTTGGGACTACAGGCACGTGCAACCATGCCCCCAGCTAAAAATATTATAAATTTTAGGTTTCCAAGCCAGCCCTACAAAAGCCTTCTTAATTCATAATATTGTTGGAGCTGTGTATTATTAGAGGGAATGCTGGTAGAAAATAATTTAGTAGTATTGCTAATAAACAAACCCAAATATTAAAGACTTAGTCTGCTTTATTTTGACTTCTGTTGAATGAAATAATCAGGTTAATACAATTAGAACTACAGAGACTGTTCTAGGGAGAGACCTCTGCCTGCAAGAATTTCGGAGGCCTGACAGCAGCAGTTTGTAATTTTGAATGCCCAGTCTCACTCCAGTAATTCTTCATTTTCCTTCCTGTGGGCATGATACACAGGAGTCATGATTAGGGTAGATTTGGGGCTCACAAAGTAAGACAGCAAAGAATGGAGCAGGAAGAGAAAAAATAAGCTTGAAAGCAATTTCTTTGATGGAGAGAATTATAGTATATCATTGTGAGAAGATTTCCTAGATCAGTATTAACTAACCTGATAAGGAAAAAATAAGGAAACTGAGGAAAAGAGGCACCCCAATTCTAGTGCTCAGGTCTTAGAACCGGATAGGCTGTTTGGACATTCAGTTCCCCCTCTGACCATAAGGTGGCGCCATCAGCCCGGGCAGTCAGTTCAAGTGGGCGGGGCGTGCGGTGGGCGGAGCTTCCTGCGAGTAAGCCATGTCCTTCACCCAGGTTTTGGAACTCACAGAATCCCCGGACTAGACAGCATATCTCAAGCTACAGGCATTGTCCCACAGACAAGAACGCATTCAATCCTTTAAGGCTCCACCTGCTCACTCCTGAGCAAGAACACCTCTCCTGTTAGACATCGCAACACACACCAAGACTCCAATTATTCCTTCCAATTCCCCTCACCTTGTTTCACAGTGTTAGCAAAAGGCCTCTAAGCCTTTTCTAATTCCTGAAGAGAATCTAGTCAAAGAGCATCCCACATTCTCATCTTTAAGTATCCATCAGGATGAGAGAACAAGCTCTTCCACGATGAGCACAGATTTCCATAGTGTCCCAGTCCTACAACATGCCACAGTTGAACTCACCAGACTGATCTCTTTAACACCAACTGACAACCCTGCCCCTGATGCAAGTCGCACTGCATCCCCTCCTGCCCTTGTTTCCTGCCCTGCCACCGGCAACACCCACTGTCTCTTGCCTCAACTTTGTTACTGTTTTATCCTGCTCCATCTTTCAAGATCTCACCCAAATATCCCTTCTGCAAAACCTTCCCACTTAGAGTTGACTGAAGTTAACTAATGCAGTGGGTTCAGAGGAGAAGCAGGGCGCCACACCTCAACCCCAGAAGCTACTGACCGCACATGGTGGGCCATGACTGCCTCTCCACAGCTCCATGGTCTCAGTGAGAAAGCGGGCCCAACTTTCCATTCAACCTCAGGGCGACCCTAACTGATCTGCCCTTACACTGCTCACAACTCACAGTGAGGTTGCACTTCCGGTCTCCAAGGCCACCATAGTCTCAAACTCGGCAGGTGACACTGCTTGTTCTCGATCATGTCACTTGATAACAGTGTTATGATTACTGCCTCTCTCTACCCACTCTCATCAGTCAGTCTGCCACACCAGGCTGAGTGACAGGGGGAAGAAGAGATCCCAACAAAGCCATCAATCTGTGCTCCCCAGCCCTTCTCCCCTGGGCCTATGGCCTAGACGAGTTGCCCTGGCAAACAGCCCAGTGATTCTGCAGAGTTCTTAAAGCCCTGATGAGACTGACTGGACTGAGCATTCTCAGCTGGACACTTTGGCCTTGGCTAAGGGTCCAGGGGTAGATCTTTAAGAACAAGAGCCTATGTTTGCAACACCTCAAATTCTAGCTACTAGCTGTGCTTTCCGTTCTAAAAGGGCAGTTTGCTCAGGCAGGAACCATGACTACTCCTTGGCTAATTGCTTTGTCAAGGCAAATAGCTTCAAGATGAATTTTTAAGTTACAGGTCCTCTGAAAGTAGGCCAAGGACCTCAAGGAGGCAAGGGCAGCACCTAACACAGGCCGAGAGGAAACAGGTCCCAGTCACCTCCATCTGCCCAGCTGCTGGCAGAAGCCCAGGTGTCTGCAGCTGGCAAAGGTGGGCTTGCTCCTACCCACTGGATCTCCTATTTCTGTTTCTCAGAAAAATGGGACCAGATGCCTTTTTAAGGCCAGTGCTCTTCGAGTCTCATCTACAAAAGAGACCAGATGGAAAGGAAGAACTCAGTTAATACCTGTAAGCAAGACTGGGAACAAACATCCACTTGACGCCAGGAAATGTGGGGCCTTAGGCAATTAGGGTAAGTCAGAATGCTGCTCTGTTGTTTGCCCGTGTGGCTTTTAAGGATGGGCAGGAGGTGGTCTTCCATGAATAAGGGACTCTAGTGGAGTAAGGTGGCACTGAGGATGCACAAAGGATATTTAGCTGCGGGAGCGGACTGCGACTGGATGCACGGGCATGAGTGGTCAGTTTCTTGCCACCTCTGCAGATCCAGACCAAAGTGACCCTTTGCTGGAGCTCTGAAATCTGAGCAAGTGCAGTGGACAGCGACTCCTGGGCACTCCTGCCCCTGGAAAGCCCACTCTGAAAGCTCTCTCCCCACCTTCCCTAGCCCTTCTCCTCACTAAGGTCTGCTCCACGCAAGAAGGTAGCCGCGGCCAAGGGCGCTCACCTGGCCCTCAGCTTCACCTGGGCCCAAGAAGGAAAGCTGAAGCCAAGTAGCCTAAGGATAACCTGCTCGGGTGTCTCCGTATCCCCTCCCCCAAGCGTGTCACTTCGCAGCCCCAATAAAGCCGGCAGTGCGCCCCGCCGCGGAGACCCGGGACTGCGTCACCGCGGGCGGTAGGTGATGAAACCTTCCTGGCACATTACTGCAGAGGGCGCGGGCGCCAAGCGGGGCGGGGGTGTGTGAGGGTTGAGAGCTGGTACCCGGGCTCACCTGTTCTCCCAGAGGAGGGTGGGGACTGCGGGGGAGGGACGAGGGCGTGCCAACACTCGGTGAGCGCCCCGGGGCACTAGGTTGCAGTGCTCGCCTAGCCGCCCTCCCCCATCCAGCTAGCCCCCAGAGCTGTGCCCTCGGGTTGACAAGGCCAGGAGCAGCTCCTGTCCCTGGCCCGGGAGCGAGGGAGACGTGAGCGTGCACACGTACACACACAGCAGGGGGAAAGGCGCTCCAAGCTGCGCCCAACTTTCTCCTCGCTTCCTCCAGCCAGGACGCAAGCAGCTGGGGGCACTCTAATCCTGGCAGTGTTTAGGGAGGGGGCTCCAACAGGAAGGAATTTGTTTGTAATGCAGAAGAGATGAAGAGCATTTCCCCGAATTTTGCTTTTTTGTTGTTTTCATTTCCATTCAAAGACTAAAAAGTAAAGGGAACCCCGAGCCAGGCGGAAAGTAGCGCTTTGAGAAAATGGAAGAGTGTATTTGGACACGCGTAAAGTTGCCTTTAAGCCCGACGTCCGGGGCACGCGAGGCTCCGCAGTGGGCTTATTCTGGGCTGCGTGGGCCTCTCTGTTACCCGCCTTGAAATGATGCAAGACTGGACTGTCACCTGGGTCCCTGCAGCCCAGACTGGAATCCATCTGTAGTGGGAGAGGGCAAGACAGGACGTCACAGCAGTCACGGGGCCCACCTAAAAGAAAGCAAGAGGATGGGGCAGTTGTTCAGGCCAAAGACTTTATTGAATGCTTCTGCTCCTATCTTCAAGCCGGCTTTATTTGTTTGTAATGCAGAACGCCACAACGCTAGGAATTCCCATACGTGCTTCCCATACGTGCTCCACCCGCTCGCACTATCACGGTGCCCTGGTGTCGCTGTAAACTATCCAGGCCACGAGGTTACAATCTTCAGTGAATTCCAACTGGGGCTAAGAGAAAACTTTCCCAGCCGGATGCGCTTGTGATGTGAGCCACGGACCCGGGAGTCCCAGCATAGACGGTCCCCTCTGTAGCTGCCGCTGCAGCTGGGATCTGCTTCGGTATTTTGGGAATGCGTTCGGCCATTGCCCTGGAGCACCCGCACACGCGCACGCATCTCTGGCCGCGCTCACACTCACATACACACACACACATACACTCGAACGCGTGACCGCCGCCAGGTCGGCAACTTTGTCGGGCGCTCCCAGCCGAGCTCAGCTTCCTCCCGTAGTAGTTGGGCTCAAGCCCCGCCTCCTGGCTCTGTTGTCAAACGGGCTGGGGTCTCGGATTGGTCCAGCCTCCGGGACAACACCTGCTCGACTTCTTCATTTAAGTGACACCAGAGCTTCCAGGGATATTTGAGGCACCATCCCTGCCACTGCCGGGCACTCGCGGCGCTGCTAACGGCCTGGTCACATGCTCTCCTGAGAGCTACGGGAGGGCGCTGGGTAACCTCTACCCAAGCCGCGGCTGCAAGGAGGAGGGAAAGGCGAGCGAAGAGGAAGAGTGGGAGGAGGAGGGGAAGCGGCGGAGAGGAGGAGGAGGGGAGCACAAAGAATCCAGGTCTCCCGGCGGGAGGTTTATACCAAGAACCATGTGTGCCGAGCGCCTGGGCCAGTTCGTGACCCTGGTTTTGGTGTTCGCCACCTTCGACCCGGCGCGGGGGACCGATGCCACCAACCCACCCGAAGGTTCCCAAGACAGAGGCTCCCAGCAGAAAGGTCGCCTGTCCCTGCAGAACACAGGTAAATGCGTGCGCCGCTGCGGCCAGGAGCTGCTGGGAGAGAACACAGTGCACAGCGCAGCACGCCTCGGGCGTTCCGCCCGCAGCCCGGCGCCCACCCCCGGCCGCGTAAACTCTTGGCGTGGCGCGGGGCGTGCAAAAGGAAGCGCGAGGCGAGGCGAAGCGAGGTTGCGCCGGGCTCGGAGCGCCCGGAATCCGCACGTGCTAGCAGGGTGATGAAATGGCTGGGGCAGGACTTGTTGCTGTCCTCCCCCGGGGTTGAAGGGAAATGAGGCAGGGCCTGACGCTGCCAGGCCACCCCGTGCAAAGCGCACTTCTCCATCCCGGCGGACCCGTGGGAGGCACGGAGGGTCCCCGGAGCCGGGCTGAGCCCTGCACCCGGAAACTACCTCTTCCTAGCCGGCCAGCCTAGACTGGACCGCTTATCCCCCTTCTTAAAAGATGCCCGACATCCCAAAACTTTGCTGGCGAGACAAATTGCATCGCGTACTCGCCCCTTGGGGAACACTGCTTTGGGAAGGGGGAAGGGGCGGCGCAAAGCGTACCTCCACAGTGCTGCCGCCGTCCCCTGCTTCTGGACAGGTCAGCAAGAGAAGGAATGGAGACACGACCCGAACTGTGCGCCTCCTCTGCTCAAACGCCTCTCTGCTCTCCGGCAAACTGCGGAGCAGAGCCAGGCGCGCGGGACACTGGGCTGGCCCTTTTCCCAGAGCTGGGGAGAGAAAGAAAATCTGCTTACAGCTCAACTCCTTCGTTCCGCGCCCACCCCCACCCCCACCCCCGCCCCTGCGGCCTTTTGGGGGGCCGTGTGAACGCTGCGGCCGCAGAGTGCGTGCTCTCACAGCCGGAGCGGGAACGCACGAATGTCCACGAGGAACGCCCCTAGTGAGTGAGTCGCGGGCCCGCCGGGGCCGCGCGTGGGTCAGTCCGGAGCCGCTCACCTCTGCGCGCCGGGTCCAGCACCCACGCGGCCGCGCTCCACACCCTGGGACCCTCGCACCCTTCCCCCCTCTCTGGTGCTTGCTCTGAACGCTGACCGTGATTCTCGGCAGTCGGTAACCCTCAACAGATACACGTCCCTCGTTCTCACTAGATTTAATCTAAATGCAGATTTTTTACTCCGACCCCGCCCCATCTTCCAAAATCTACTATTCTGATGTAATTTTGTGGTCCGTTTAAATCAGAGAATCGGGTAGGGGGGTGGGAGGGAATCGAGGTTTTGCACGCGGCAGCCTGACAGTGAACTCAGTCTGTCCTTCTAAGAGCCGTATTAGGACCACATTCTGCGAAGGAAGGCAGCAAGCTATGGGGCCACGGGTATTCTAAGGGATTAAGTGCTGTCTCACACCGGATCCCTAATTAAAAAGAACCTCTAAGGGCGGGTGGTGGCATTTTTGCATGGCCAGCCCTCATCCGACTTGATTCCCGAGCCTGCTGGAAAACCGCAGCTTCCCTAGCATGGTATTTTTAATGTGGATGGCTTGGAGGCGCTGCTTTAATAGGAATTTTGTTTTGATTTTTAGGCGTTGAATCATAATGCTGAATTGAAACTGCTTTTTGGACGAACTTTTTGGGGGGTCAGGGAGGAAATGGTTGGGATGTAACGGCAGCTGCTTCTCCAGATCCAAGTAGAGAGGAGTATTTCATTGATGAAGTGCAGTCTTCAGGAAAAGCTGAAATATTTTCTGCTTTCACATTATTCCCACAAATACTTTAATCAAATGGAAAGAATGGGGGGGTACTCAGACCTAAGCTAATTTTTACAAATGCATTATTTGCAAATATCAGAACTTAGGATGAGTAGTATTTTATGAGATTGTGTTTTGTCTCATTAGACCCTGAAATAGTCATTACTAACTTTTTTCCCCTTAAATTTTCCTTCAGTCCTTACTAACTTTTATTGCAACTGACCTGTCTGCATTTCCCAGCCTGGCTGAAAGTTTTATATACATATATTTGTATGTAATTTTCATTTTAGCGGAGATCCAGCACTGTTTGGTCAACGCAGGTGATGTAGGGTGTGGCATTTTTGAATGTTTCGAGAACAACTCTTGTGAGATTCGGGGCTTACATGGAATTTGCATGAGTTTTCTGCACAACGCTGGAAAATTTGATGCCCAGGTAATAACCACATAGAGTGGGAAGGTTTGGAGTTAGCATAGCACGATTAAAACATTCACTGGAAAGACTTGGTAACAGATTTCCTTGGCTGTTCTTTGTGGCATTTCAGTGCCTGCAAGAGATATTCCTGGTCTATAGCAGGATACCAGTGCACTGAGGAGCTGCTCTCTGGAGCTGTTGTGTATAGTAAACCCTTCTGCACTGTTTTTCCCTGTTGTTTTTGAGACAGAGTCTTGCTATGTAGTTTAGACTGGCCTGGAACTTGAGGCAGTCCCCCTGCCTCCCAAGTACTGCGATTACAGGCATTCGTCACCATGCCCAGCCTCCCTCTACTCTTCACTTGTTTCTACACAGGCAAAGTACACTGGAACCTCAAAGTACAGTAAATTATAAACATCTTAGAAGAGGACAGATCGTGTCTGGACACCCAGAACACAGTTCCCAAAGCCCACTGCATGGGAAACAGTAGGCAGAAGGGGCGGGAATTCCCCTCTTCCACATTCCACTGAAGAACTTTTTACACCTAATAGGGAATCTGTCATGTAGTGTACAAACAGGCAAGCAACCTAGATAATGCAAGGCTGTCCAGCCTTGGACATTTATTCCAAAAGAGTAGACATTTATTCCTTCTGAGGAGCAGACTCCTTCTCTCTCAACCTGAAAAGTCAAAGCCTTGAATACAAATGGCCTGACCCACATCAGACATCCCTGCCTCCCCAGGGTAAAGCTGAGTTGCTCCTCAGGGCAGAGCAAGAACCCAATAAGCAATCTGATGGCTCCAGGGCCAACAACCCAAGTACATGCTTTGATCTCTTGCAGCATTAGGCTCACCTTCATTTTCCCCCTGGCCCCATATGCCTGTGGAAATACCCTGTTATTGTAGCTGATAAATTTTCCTTCCCATTTCATTAGTGAGTGGTGATGTGTGGAAAGGCCAACAGTTCACATGTGATTTATGCATATCGCAGTCACCATCCACCAACATCCTGTAAGGAGCCTGACAAAGCAATGCCTGGGGACCAGAAAGGAGCAGAGGATATGAGTGGGCAAGTGGGAAAACAGAAACCAGGGAAGAGAAAAGGTAGAACTTTAAACCCATCAAGGCTCTCACATAAAGTGTCCCTTCTGGATTAACTCGAATTAGAAAACATAATAGGGAGTCCAGAGGAAAGATGTGTATCGAAGGGTGATCCCACAGGACGCCAGGAAAGAATACCAAGAACAGACTGGCATAGTCCTTGCATCAATTCACCTTCCTGTTCCCCACTCCCACCAACAGAAATATGTTCTCAAGTTACACTCATCCCTTTCAAGTCAATTCTCAGCACACAACTGCTTAATAAATTGGCACCCTTTATCTTCCATCCCATTTGGCTCTCCCTGGACAGTTCTCAGAAGGGGCGCTGAGAAGGTGACTGTACCTCATGGGTTTTCAGCCATCAGACATGATCTGCAGACATTTTGATTGCTTTTTAAAGAGAGAACCAAAGTAAATGTGCTGGCTGGCTTCCTACTTCCAACCTAAACCCCTTTACTTTCTCAACTCAGTGACTTCCAGGCCTGGGTGACCTCTCCAAGGATAGCTTGTTTCTATAGTAATGGAGGATGTGAGGATTCCTGGGTAAGCATCCCACAATGCCTCTGGGCCATGAGAGGTTGATAAGGGAGCAAAGGCAGAGCTGCCTCCACACCCCCAACAGCTGTCTCCTTTCTAGGATAAGCACAGTCTAATAGGGTTGCCAGGAAAGAGAACTGCAGGCCAGATGTATGCTTGGCTGCCTTGGCCCCTCAGAGCAGGGCCGTTGGGGAGGGGCTGTCAGCCGGGCACTCCCAGCTCAGATGCTGCCAGGCTGGGTGCCAGGAAAGCCTTTTAGAGGCAATAATCCTAACAGTTTAAAGGAGTAGAGTCATTTTTGGAAAGGCAAGGAATGTTCCTCCTTGAAGGACGGGAGATGACAAGAGTACAAACCAGAGGCAGTCAGGCAGAAAGGGGAGATTCCACGAGCACACCATCTAGGTGGTACTCCTGGAATTGAAGGAAAAAGGGAAAATGTCTGATTTGAACAAAGAGGTACCTTCCACTGGGGAAGAACTCTTGCTGAGAACGACAAAGGAGTTATGGCCCAATTCCCCTGGTGTTCTAGAAAAGTTGCCACTCGGCAGCCAACACTGGGCTGCCTTGAAGACAGCCAGCCATGGAAGCCCCAGTTCAAGGAAAACTAAAAGTGCAGCTGCAGAGGAAAGAGGTGGATTAGTTAGTGTACAGAACTAACATCCTTTTGTCCCAGTGCCAGAGGTAGCATGTCACTCAATGTACTTCCAATGCAGCCTGGCATCTGGGAGGTCTTCAGTCTGAGAAGGGGCCTTGGGGTTGTATTGTCAAAACAAGAAGCAAGGAAGGGAGGAAGAAAGGAGGGAAGGAGGAAGGAAGGAAGGAGGGTGGGAGGGAGGGAAGAACGGAAGGAAGGAAGAAAGGGAGAGAAAGAAAGAAAAAGAAAAGAAAGGAAGGAAAAAGAAAGATGGATAAATGTATAACCATATCATAAAGTCTTCCCTCTTCTGCCCTTCTCTCTTTTCTGTCCTCAGGGCAAGTCTTTTATCAAGGATGCCTTGAAGTGTAAAGCCAACACTATGAGGCAGAGATTCGCCTGCATAAGCCGGAAGTGCCCTGCCATCAAAGATATGGTGTTTCAGTTGCAGCAGGAATGCTACCTCAAGCACAATCTGTGCAGGGCTGCACAGGAGAACATCCAGGTCATAGTGGAGATGATCCATTTCAAGGACTTACTGCTGCGCGAGTGAGTACTCTTAAGGCCTTGCCTCCCTGGACAGCTGGGGGTGGGAACATCGTTCTGGCAAGGGTGGAGCCACGGTGGTTGAAAGTGCGTTGCAGTTGGTCTGGGGGGCTTGCTGTTGGAGGCTGAGCTCCTGTCAAATGGAGAAGAGTGAGGTTAACTCAGAAAGCCACACCAACTCCCCTAGGAATCTCCTTTCCCGCTGGCTTTCAGGAAAACTGAAAGAAATTTCCATCACCAATGCTGAAATCACAGGCTACAGAAATAGATATGTCTGAGTGTGCATGTGTGTACACTGAGAAATATTCTCTGTCTTCCCCTTAGACAAGAACCCAACAAGTCTTCCAAGTAGCTGCACGAGGTATCCAAGTAGCTATCAGCTTTTCCTTACAGAAAGCTGATACCTAATAACGTTTGTTGCATGTTTACTAAGTGCCGGGCCCTATGCCCAGTGCTTTATGTTATTTTTTTTCACCTGATCCTCACAACAGCCCTTTGAGCTAGATGCCTTCATCAGCTCCATTTTATCTGATGAGAAAACTCAGATCCACTGAGGATCACAGCTGGTGAGATGCAGAACTCAACTGGGATCCACACAGTCAGGCCCTAGCACCTACACTCGTAAATGCCCAAATCTCCAAGCAATTGCTGCTTTTTCTGCCTCTGGGCTCTCCTTTTGTTCAGAAAATCCAGCTCACCTTCTCTAGTTCATTAATGCCATGCCAAAAAAAAAGCATCAGAAACTTTAATCAGCTAAACATTTCCATGCCAAAACTCAGAAACATGAACTGACCTTATTCAAAGATTTGAAATTCAGTGATAGACCTAAAACATCTCATTCTTTAAAAATTACCCCAGCTATAAAAGCCTAAGTTCTGCAGGATGGTAAAGCATGTTGGTGCACAACTATTCCTAACGTGATGCACAGTCCATAAACACTGAAGATTAGGATGACGCCTTCTTCAGAGATGCTGAGCAGAAAGCAAGCCACTGGCTAAGCTGTCCAGAACATGTTATTGCCGGCTTTGTGGCACTATTGCTCTTTCCACAGTGACTCACTGGGCCAAATCAGTCAATTTTATGAATCTTTGTCCCTCAGTTCATATCATGACCCTCTCCCAGGTATGTTACTAAACAGGCTATCCTACTCTACCAGTATCACCTAGATCGTAGAGTACAATTATCTCCTGTTACTGCCCATTTGGTTTTAAGGTTTTAGGTATCTTACAACCCCTCTGATACCGTGTAAGGATTATAAGATTTATGGTGAAGCTCTGCAAGCAGCTCTTGCCAAAAACAAGTTATGCTGCCTTTTCTGAGTCATACTAATGCCTTATGAAATATTTTTATTCTCCCAAATACCTATAAATGAATAACAGAATTAACAACAACAACTGTCATTTTTTTTTTACTGTGCCAGGCCCTAGGCCAAGGGCTTCACATGAATTATCGCATTTGCCTTCCCCAACAACACTGAGATAGAAATTACTGTCCCTTTCTTACAGAGGAGGAAAGTGAAGCTAAGAGCTTCAGGAACTTGCTCTGAGGTTTAGTTCCTACTTTTCAGCTTAGGAATTGGTGACATAAAGTTGTCCCTCAATATCTGCAGAAGATTATTTCTGGACCCCACGCAGATATTAAAATCCACAGATGCTCAAATCTTACATACAGTGGTTCAGTATTTGCATATAACTTACATATATACCCCACTTTAAATCACCTCTAGCTTATTAATAATACCAAATACAATGTAAATGCTTTGAAAATAGCTGTCATGCCTTTTTGTTTAGGAAATAATGTCAAAAGAGTCTGCACATATTCAATACAGGTGCATTTTTTCCCCAGCATTTTTGATTCATGATTGTTTGAACCATGGATATGGAGAGACAACTGTATATGACTGAAGCCAGTTTTCAGGAACAAGCAGTTGTCAAAATTCAAGCTTCCTTCCTCTCCTTGCTAGACCTGTCTTGCTAGGCCTGTCCTCTCCTTGCTAGACCTACTAAGGCCTCACTGGTCCCCAAATATGGCAGGTTTTTTTCCTTTTCTCAAATATATCCCCACCCTACACAGAAAGTACTGTGAAATCCCCTTCTTCCAAGACACCTCCAAAAGAAAGAAATACCCCATGGCTGAGAAACTCCATGAAGTTTATCTGTCCAAGCCCACTGTCCTCCTGTCATCTGTTATAGGTGGCTCGCCAGCCTCAACAGTGGACAGTGAATGACACTTTATAAGTCCATGGTACAATTTTAGAGTGTAAAAAGTCTTTGCATTCATTTAGAGAAAGTCTTCTTTAGGGAAACTGAAAGTGTTAAGTCTATTCCCTCACACTGCAAATTTAGGAAGGAGGTAAAGCCCTGTGGCCTTCTAGTGTCCCCTCCATGAATATGGCCCATAAAGCCAGGGACGCTTATTTTCAAAGGATCCCCACACCACTTAGAATGAACCTGTGGCCCCAGCCCAGCCTGCTCTGGAAGTGCCAGCAGCCCAGCCTGATCAGAAGTGTGGGCCTCTTTTAAGGACACACCACATATGTGATCACATGCAGGCCTCTGGTTTTCTGCCAAGGCAGCACCTCTAAGTGATGAGTTCTGTCACACTCCAGCTCCCCTAAAAGCCCCATGGTCTGCCCTGTGAGACCACAGACCTACAGGGCGTCTGCCTGTGCTTTAGGCTGAATTACCTGAGGATTTTTTTTTCCCTCTCACCATCTTGACTAATTAAAGGATCCTGTCAGTACCCAGACATCAAAAAGATTATTTCAGAATGTGTGGCATGGATCACATATAAGAGAATGAGAACCAAATTTGCTTTTCACTTAAGAGAAAAGGAAATGCAGTCATCCCAGAATCCACAACTCCTCAGTCCTCAACCAGTCCTCATCTGCCTCAAAATATGCACACTCAATGAAAGCACCCATTTCAATTCTGTTCCCCTCTGGTCCTCTCACCCATTCCTGTCTACCCCCTCTTTCTCCTTATCATCTGCCTCCCCCTAGCTGCAGACAGCCTACCTTGGCTCCGCATGCCCTGTCACTGGCAGTCACCCATCGTCTGGAGCCTCCAGACACATCCCACATCCCCCTCCGGGTGTTTTTCTGTTTTGTTTTGTTTTAATCCTTTAGCCCTGCTGATACCCTGTTGAGTGAGCTGGGCTTTATCATTAGACACGGGCTCAGCTGCAGCCTGAGGAGGCACCATGCCAGCTCAAAACATGGCTTAGATTAACTCCCTTTGGCACACATACCCTCGCTGCAGTCCGCAGCTTGCTAGTGGGGAGTGAGGAGAGCGTGGTCCAGCCCTGCCTTCTGGGGTCCCACTCAGCCTCACAGTTCTGAGAGGTCAGGTAGCAAGCAGAACACCCTGGGGAAGAGGCCTTCCTTTCAGTCTTCTTAAAGGAAAGAAGCAATTTAGAATCCCCTCAAAAGACAGATATTTGGCCCCTGCAAGACGCTCACCTACGCCAGGAGGTACAGTAGGTGCTAAAATCCTGTTGCTACTTAACAGATCGGTGAAATTGAGCTCCCTGAGCCAGATCCTAGTTTTAAGAAGGGGAAGGAAACTGGGTATGATGGTGTAAGCCTGTGACCCCAGCACTCTCAGAAGATGAGGTAGGGGGATCGGGAGTTCAAGCTCAGTCTAAGAAACTTAGTGACTTAAGCAAGACTCTTTCTCAAAATAAAAAGGGCTGTCGATGCAGCTCAGTGAAAAGGCCCTGGGTTCAATCCCCAGAAACACCAAGAGAAAAAAAGGATGAAAGGCAGCCAACATGCACTGAGCATTTTTCTTGTGTTGCTACATGTATGCCTTCAAGGTAGCCTAAAAAGTCATGCTGTCTCCGTCACGGGCAGAAGCCAGCCTTAGAGAGTTTAAGCACACTGCACATTCCCTAGAAGAGATTCTGACATCAAAGATATCAAGGAGGCCTTAAAAAGCAGCTGGAACCCCACCAACCAGAACATTCCTGCTCTCCGCTCTCAGCCCAACCCCAGGCATTCCCAGCCTGGAAACTCCCGAAGGCCCCCTTCTCCCTCTTCTCAGTTTTCACATTTCATGAAGTAAGAACACTTCACTCAATTACAACTTGAGAACTAATTAATAGAAATGGCAGCAAACTGCTTCATGCATTATCTTAAAATATAATCTGCTTTCTCTGCATACTCACAACTGCCAACTTGCAAAGAAAGATCACACTGGCTCCAATGCAGCCATCCAGATAGCCAAGGCCCATGGAGCAAAAAACCTTTGCTGTTTGTCATAAAAGTCTCACTCATGTTCCAAAGTGATTTCCCTATTCAAGGTGACGGCCCAGGGCTTGATGCTTATGGTCAAATGTATCAAGAACTTTTGCTAACTAAGGGCTGCTTATGAATGCTGATTAGCCATCGGGAAGCATACTTCAGCATACAGCACTTGCCTAGCACGCATGAGGCCCTGGGATCCATCCCCAGTACCGAAAAAGAAAGAAGAAACAAAGAATGCCAGTTAGCCACAGGAAGCATCCCCTCTCTGGAGATTTTAAAGGGCCACTGAGAAGTAGGAAATGTTCAGTGAGTGGACCCTAAGCAGGGCACACCACTTCCCAGACAGCTCATAAATATAAAAGCAAGCACACTGCTCCCCTCTGCACACATCTTCCACCCCCTGGGGTGAACTCCTCCAGCAGTTTTCCAGAAGAATGGCCCAAAGCTGCCAGAAGGAGCTGAGCCCTCCAGAACAAAGCATGTTTGTGTTGTAGAGAGCCAGCTCTTATCAAAAACACAAGGGCCCCTCACTTCCTTGCTGGGGAAGCCCAGACTGAAAGAATAAGGGTGGTGAGACTCCCACTCTCCTGCCTCTGCTGCCCAGCAAGGGAAATGACATCCCAGGAAAGTGGTCTTCCTGGGGCTCCTCTCCACCTATTTCAGCATCCTCCAGAGGTAGAGAGCAGTATATTCAGTAACTTCTAAAAATACCCCTCATCATGAACCTCAGCCAGGGGCACACACAGACATGGGAAAAATGGCTCTTAGGAGCCTCAGGGAGAAGAATGAAAGAATGGCACCTGGGACAAAATAAGCTGGCCTCATTGGCACCCATGGGGCAGAAGGTCAAGGTGCCCTGCCCCAAACCCCAAACCTTCATGTCTTCTCCCTTAAGGAAAGGACTGCTGAGTTTGGAATTGAAGGCCTTCTACCATTTGCCTAAATGTGTCCCACTGACCCAAGACCCAACACTTAGGTGAAGCTCACCTAGCTCCCATGGCCTGGACCTCCTCAGAATGCTCCTGCCTTCTTGTTATTCACATAGCTGCCCTAATCAATGCTCACTTTCCATGTTAGTGTCCTAGCCCTAAGCCCAGTGTTAGGCACCTGTGAATTGTTACTGACCCTTCATCATGTGGCAGGCTCTGTCTGTACATCTAGTGTTTTAGTTACATTTTCTCATTGCTGAGAAAGTACCCAGCACCCGAAGTTAGGTTTGCTTTGGCTTATAGAGGTTTCAGTCCATAGTCAGCTGGCTCTAAAGAGGGTGGCATGGCAGAGGGGCATTGCAGAGGAGAAACAGTTCATGGCAGACAGAAGGCAGGAAGACAGCAAAGAAGCAGCAGCAAGTGATACACAGTGACAACAGCAGCCTTCTTTCTGTCCCTTATATTCTACTCAGGGTACCCACCTTCAGGGACAGTGGCACTCACACCCAGAGTGGGGCACCCTTAATCCTAACATCCAACCATGCATCATTCCCAGCATCACACACCCTATATCCAGCCACCTCTAAAAAGCTCCACCTATGATATGACTGCATGAGGCTTTGGGGGGACATCTAGATATAAGCCATGGCAGAGTGTAAGAGTGAGAGTGTCCCTGTGCCTATAACTTCTGCCATGGACCCAGGTCCACATGGATATCTTTGGAACATGGGCAAAGGCTTAAAGTAGTTCCACCAAATCCAAACCACCTTTCCTGGCACTGTCACGGCACACCAGGGCCTCTGTAGGACTTGTTCCATTCTTAGTCTTTCTCTGCTTTCAATCTCTAGAGCCTACGTGCACCTGGTGAATGAGCTGCTGGCCTGTGGAGACGAGGTGAAGGAGGCCATCACCCACAGTATGCAGGCTCAGTGTAAGCAGAAATGGGGGGAACTATGTTCCATCCTGAGCTTCTGCACCTCAACCATCCAGAGGTCCCCCACAGTGCCTCCTGAGCACCAGCTCCAGATGGACAGAGACAGACTCTCCTGGACCCACCATGGGGAAGCCAGCCACCACTTCTCAGAGCCCAGCAGCAGGGAGAGCATTCGAGGCGCCAAGGGCGAACGTGGGAGCAGGGGCCACTCAAATGCCCGTGCCCGGGGCAGAGCTGGTGGCCATGGGGCCCAGGGGCCTTCTGGAAGCAGTGAGTGGGAGGATGAACAATCTGAGTATTCTGATATCCGGAGGTGAAATGAAAGGCCCAGCCATGAAACCTTTCCGCCACAACGTCCGTTTTCTTACCTATGGACATTCCAAAACATTTACCATTAAAGAGGGGGCTGTCACACGCAGGGTTTTTGTGGGGATTGTGGGCTTCGTGAAGGTGTATGAACGGGTGAGACAGCTCCTAAGGCAGCGAGGTCTCAGAGGTGCCTAGAGAATCAGGCACCCACACATACTCAAGGGAACCCCCCATATCCTCCTTGTAACTTCGTCTTCTTTCCATCCATGGATCCAGCGGGTGGTGGGCGCATGATACACTCTGTCATGGGGGAGGTGAGGCAGGGAGGGGCAGGTGAGCAGGCAGTCTATGTGGGGTAGACCATCCCAGGGGTGCTAGGCTCCACCCACAGCCTTCACAGAAGGCAGGTGTGTGGTTTCCAGGGCAACAGTGAAAGGAAAGTGTCACGAGAATGCAGCGGAAGGGTGGTAAGGAGGCAGGGGCCGCAGGCAGGAGCCACAGCAGGGCTCAGTGCCAAGTTTCCTGCATGGGACCTTGCGATTCAGAGCTGCTTGAGGTGGGAGAGGGGAGTGTAATTTCTATGTGTAATTTCTGAGCCATTGTTCTGTCTAAGGGACACAGTCTGAAGGACTGGCCCCAGTGTGTTTGTATTTTAACCACTGCTTCAAATCTTGATTTCACTTTTTTATTTATCCAATGACATCTACATATCTGTCATCTAAATAAATGCCTTGCAAACAAAGCAACTGGGTCATTAAAACCAGCTTAAAGGGGGAGGATAAACAACCCCAGACCATCCTTTGCAAATGAATTTTTTAAAGAGCAATTTAAGGAGGAATCAAACAGCTCTGTACTGACACGGGCTCATACCCACCTGGGACAAACCTCCAAACTGGAGGAAAACACACACATGGGGAGTCCGATTGGCAGATGCCCTTAGAATGTTGTTACCTCACCTTCACCCTTAGCCAAGACCCACAGAGCACTGCGCCCCCAGGTGATCTTGTGCAGCCAAGCAGGAAACCTGGATCCTGCATACTAAAGGACAGAAAAAAGGAAAAGAGAATGAGGACTGCTAAGTGATTCCCGTCAAGCAATGCTAACCTTTAGCACAAATGCTGAGAATCTCTAAGGGACAAGACTTTCCAGATCCTAATTAGACATTTAACAACAAGGAGGGAAGTCAAAGTGGATAGAAGAAAGCAGAGGGAAAAGATGGAACTAAAATACAAGGCAGGGAGGGCAAAACTTAATAGGTAGGAAATCCATAGAAGTGAGTTTCTGGCAGTTACTGTGAGCATCTCATGGACAGGCCCTTTCTTCCCAATGACTTCAAGTTAAAGCCTCTCCTGTTATAGCCAAAGCTCGAACAGAGTCAGTACTATCAAGAGAGGACAGATGTCCTGGGCTGGGTCTTTCTAGAACAAGAGTCAGCAAACTTTTCTATAAAGAGCCATACAGTAAACACACTGGTGTCAGTCTGGTGCACCATTTGGTTTCTGTTGCCAATAGTCAACTCTGCCTTGATATCCCCAAAGCAGCCCCAGACACAGAAACGAAAGGGCTTGGCTCTCTTCCCGTAAAATCTCATTTAACAGGCCCCCAGCTGAATCTGACTTCCAAGCCAAAGTTTACTGAGCCTAATTCTAGGGAGTAAGCCAAGAAGTATGTGTCCTCCCTTATCTCGACATTTGTTAGCTTTTCCTCAAGCAACCTGAGGCCAGAAACAGAAGCTAAATTTTTTTTCCCCCTAAATGATTTGCTCTAGGGAATACACCCCAAACACAGCTAGTGTTGATAGTCCCCAAATCCAGCCCCATCCCTCCAGAGCCCGTGTGAGAAAGCAATCATTAGGAGGAGTGGGTCAGTGACTCACCAGGAGAAGCACCCAGAAAGAGCTGGGACTGCAAAGAACAGGATCCATGTGTCTGATCCACCTCTGGCCTGGAACGGAGCAGGCGAGGCCAGGCTCTGCCATGGGAACCAAACATAAACGTGGTCGTCCCATGCCACAGGCCACCGCAGCACGTTGACTGTTTTTCCTTACGTCACTCAAAAGCTAAAGCAATAACATTCTCCCTCGTTGCTGGGTCAGCTGTTCATTTGTCCACTGGCTCCTGGACTGGATGTGTAAATGCCTTCTGTGTTCGCCTACTGATGTCCCATTTGGTGCGTCTACTGTAAATATTTGTCATTGTATTTATTATCTCAGTGCTTTCCCGCAAAGGCAAAAAATTACTTACTATGCTCATTTGTACTCATTGACTGATCTCTGTTACATATTTTTCATTATCATTAGCTATTCTTTCCCCTCCCAAAAGGCAGAGAAATACCATCTCATGTGGATCCTTCGTGTCACTGGAAACATACAGTAGTATTTATTGCTCAAAACTGTCCAAATTCATGTAGGCATCAATGGGAGCATTTGTACAATCTAAAATGTAAGCAAAGCCGTCATTAAAAATAGCCCCTCTCCTTGGGCTTCATACCTCATACAAATTTACTCATGAGTCTTCCTTGGAGGAAGGATGTGGATCTCCAAATAAAGATACAGTGCTTATTTTGAGCTTCACATCTTAGCAAGATGATCTGAACATCTCTCTTTTGTATCAATAAATAGCCCTGTTACTCTGAAAGGAGAGGATGGAGAGTGGTGAAATGCTGACACTCAAAACTAAATAAATAGAAAACACTAGCCCAGAACTGTGGTCGTACTTACACACACACACACATACACAAGGAGAGATTTAAGCTGGACCTGAGTAGAACTGCCACTGAAACAACATGGAAAAACAATGCTTCCACTGGCCACTTCTGAAGGAAGAACAACCCTGTCTGATCTCAGAATCTGTACCGTTGAGTTTACTAAGTCATAATACCTGTTTCTATTACGGATGTTAGGCAATAGGACCTATCCACTGTTACACTGCATTATTTTCCTGCAAACATTAATAAAGGTTTTAAATAAATGGCTTCGACCTGAGCAGTGTCGCTGTCTGAGGGGCTTTTGGGGTCTCGGGCAAGGAAGGATAGCTGAGCAAGCAGGCTGTAGACACTCAGGAGAGTCCTCTGCCTGTTTGGGACATTAAGCTCGCAGGAGGCAAACCAATGAAGAAGCCCCCGGGCTTCTCCGTCAGAGCAACTCTGTCTAATCCTTGGCTGAGCCATCCAGACAGAGAAGGGATTCTATGTACCTGGCCTGGAAGTGCCACCCCCATGCCCAGTGAGCTTCTTGCAACTCGTTGTGCTCACCTTTGGGTGTCCCCTAGGGGCTGCTCACCCAATCTTTAAGGCTGAGCCTACAGCAGATGCAACAGCTCAATGGCTCAGTTGACTGGCTCACACAGGAAGCTTGTGCCTTCTTCCAAGCTCCTCCTCATCACTGCAAAACACAGCTGAAGTTTTGGCTCTCCACAGATTACACCACTACAGGTGAGCCTATGATGTAACAGGCGTCGTAATAGGCATTTTGCCTGCCTTATGTCATCCTGTGTCCCACAAGTAACAGGTATTAGCCCCACTTTACAAGAAGAGCCTGCAGTGTAGGCTTTCCCCAACCATGTGACCAGTGAGCACGGGGCTTGAACTCAACCCAGACAGGGCCTAAAATTTCCACCTTCAATTTACTTTTAATTTGAACCAATTGCCATTGTCCCTATTTTAAACAAGGCTTAGGAAAGAATAATTATACTCTTACATTTATAGCAGTCAGCCCCTGCGGGGCTCTGCTTCAGAACAGAAAGGAAAATTGATGCCCTCACCTTTCCCCTCTGCAGAGACTGAAGCTGGGGTTCAGTTAAGAGATAGAAGGAGAATCGAGGAGCCTTGTCACTTCCTTCACCCGCGGGTGATTTTGTAAGCTCGCCTTGCACACCACTTAGGAAAATGTTTGGCTAGCAACTGGCATTAGTGAGCCTGCAGTGAGAGCATTCTCCATCAAATGCATCTCCTCACCAGCCCTGAGAAGCCAGGTTTCCCCAAACTTCCTGCTGTCAACATCATCACTGTGACAGTTACCGTTTCTTGGGGATATGTTATTCCCCCCTGCTTTATCTCTTACTTAACTATTTTATTTCTGAACCTCACTTTACAGATAAAGAGACTGAGGCTTGAAAATATCTTCATGTGTCTGGAGACCGTCATAAGGCTGGTGAGCTCTAGGGCCCGTTCTGCCCCCACCCCACTTGCTTCCTCTCACCCCAGGTGGGAATACTCATGGTAGCGGCACCCAAATGAGTTGAGAAATACAGCTGCCTTCCCCAAATCCTCAGGACTGCTCCACCCCAAAGGTTCAGGTATTATAAGGCTGTGGGAGGAGGAAGGCAGAAGGGCCTCCAAATATGCTGGTATTTCAGCAAAGTTTCCAAAGGGAGCAAGAGCAGCTTGCCCCAAAATCTGGAGACAGAAATCTGAATTTGTTCTAAAGTCAAAAACAACTAAAGCGCCCCCCTGCTGAGGAGGGACAAGCCTTGGCCAGAGAACAGGTTTTCTGTGAATTATTTTTTGTGGGTGGAGAAGAGAAGAAGGCTTGGACTAGGAGTCAAGCGTTGGTGCTTGCATAAGCAGTTCAGTTTTTATCACTCCCCAAAAAGAACAAAAAAAAAAAAAAAAAAAAGAAAAAATCACTCCCCAAAGAGAACAGGAAAAAAAAGTCATAAAGCCAAGTGACCTTATGCATGAAGTGAACTCCACCACACTGAACCCTGCCACGTGACAGGACCCAAAATTCATGGCACCTTTGGGTCTACAGCCACCTGGCCACCCTTTAACACTGGGTTCGCCTGAGGAAGCTACCACTTGGGAAAAACAAGAGAAGCTCCTCCAGGGAATTCCCAGAGGCAGTGTCATTATTCACAAGGTGCTGAAGACTAATCAGCTGGTTCCATTTTCCACTGCTCTGTTTCCAGGACTTTTTATGGTTCTGAAGTTAAGGGGGAGTTCCCATGTAAAAAGAAGCAGCACGCTAAAGAGCCTGGGAACCGCCCGCTTGCCCTCTGAGTTATGAATAACTCTGTGAAGGACTCAGGCTCCAAAGAGAGCTTTGTTCAGGAATCACGATCCTGATTTTGTCCCAATTATTTACCGCTATGGAACAAAACTACCCTCCAAAGCTTATTAGATATAAAACAACTCGTTATGCAGCTCATAATTTTGTGGGTTAGAAACCTGGAAAGCCTCGATTAGGTGGATAGACTCTTCACCGGACATCGCCTGGGGCAACAGGGAACTGGAGAATCCACTTCCACAATGGCCTGTTTAAGATGGCACCTCAGTGCTGACAGCTTCTCAGATCTACACACCACGAAGGAGGACGCTATGTCACTTTTGCGTACCATTTCCTGTACCTCCAGTAGCCCTGCTATTGCCTGGAATGAATGAATGAATGAATGAATGAATGAATGAATGATCTAAAAAGGATGTCAAAATATCAAATCAAAAGTTTTTAAGCCAGGTGTGGTGGTGCACAACTATAATCCCAGTACTCTGGGAGACTTAACAGGATCCTGCCTCAAAAAAAAAAAAAAAAGAAAAAACAAATTAAAAAGGGTTGGAGATGTAACTCAATGTGAAGACCCAGTAAAAAGAAAGAAGAAAGAAAGAAAGAAAAGTTTTAGCTCATTTTTTGACTTCTAAGCAAATACATCCTTGTGTCCTCCTAAGAGGCATCAATTTGTCATAGAATCAGTGAGAGGGAGTCAAAATTAAAAATCATCGGGAAACTATACTTTTGGAGTCAGGAGG